TACAGCAGTCAACCAATAAGGAATCTCCACACTTAATGGCTCGATGGCGTTACTTCACAAACCACTCCCTCTGACAAAATGCCAGGCGCCATCTTGACTTGTTTACAGACCCTAACAATTTTATACACGCCTTATGCACAAATCTAGAGGTAATTTTATGCAATATTTTTTAACAATTTGATGCAAGAAACAGTTTCACAGTATGGAACTTTCCATACTCTTACAGTGTCATGTCAATGCTCAAAAAGTTTCAGATTTTAGAACATTTCGAGCTTTGTATTTTGGATTTCTGGATTAGAGATGTTCAACCTATATTACCATTCGCATAGGTGAGGGTCACCCTTGAAGACTGTGGGGAGATCTATACTATGGCAACTCCCCTCTTCCTCCAGTGTCCTTAGATCCCTAAAGAAAAATAGTGTGAATGGATAGTGAGGCCATCCACAGAACTCCCCACAGCTGTTTCCTGGACTGCACATTGGTGTGCTGGGAAAGTAGCCAGAAATGGGAGACTGGTGATCAGAAGGGCTTCCTGCAGCAGTACTCACAAAACTGAGTCTCTGACATCTGCCTATCTCTATGTCTTCTGAAATGGGTAGTTAAATGTCCTCAACTAACCAATGTTTGAACTGAATGATCTCTAAGGTCCCTGCTTCCCTGCTGTTCTCACAGTCCATGTATAGTGCAAAGGTTGTCTAGAAAGTTCCACTAAAAATAATCAACATGTGGTAAGTTTTCCACAATAAAAAATTATAGACCTACACAATAAGAATAGTTCATTAATGATAGTATGCATTCCCTCTTTATTTTACATTGCATTTTTGTGAATTTTCAAGTTTTACCTCTTTTGAACTCATCTTTTGTTTCCAAACTGTTGTAAGTCTAGAGGTTTTTCTCAGTTAATTTTCAGAACACAATACTTAAATGTCAAGTGGCCAGTTCAAAGCCACATATCTGACAACACCATGATTAAAGATTATATTTGTTCTACAAACACTCAACACATAATTATCAAGTGACATCTAAAAACAAAGAACTGGGCTTGGCACTAGGGACACAGAGATGAATGGCTTAATTCTACTCTAAGGGAGCTCCATCTGGTAAGTCATCAAGACAAATCACCACATGGTTAAAGAAAGGCTAAGAAGGATAAACACTTAAACAGTCTGGAGAGCTACAAGAAAAAGGTGATCCAGGAGCTGAGAACTGGAAAATGGGTAAGAGTTTGCCAGCGTGCCCAAAAGCACAGAGATAGGACATTCTTGCTAAAAATCACCATCAGACTGAGTCTCCACATTAATTCAGCATCTAGCGAATGCACCTTCATTGAGTGAATAGATAGATGAAAGAATGTGGGAGACAGCTTGGCCAAGCAATGGTTTTAGCTTTGCTGGTTCTTCAACATTAAAATTTTTATTAAAATTTTATTAAAATTTTTATTAAAATTAATATTTTCAATATTTTAGACTTATTGGATGTCCACTATGTACAAAGCACATATTAGGAGTCATGAGAAACCATAAAAAGAAGAAATATAGGAGCTGTGGATGTGGCTCAAGCGGTAGCGTGCTCGCCTGGCATGCGTGCGGCCCGGGTTTGATCCTCAGCACTACATACAAACAAAGATGTTGTGTCCACCGAAAACTAAAAAATAAATATTTTTAAAAATTCTCTCTCTCTCTCTCTCTCTCTCTCTCTCTCTCTCTCTCTCTCTAAAAAAGAGAGAAATATAATCCATGACCCCAAGAAGATGTAATAATTCAACATATATTTATTGAGCTTTGTATTTTTTCCATATGAATGGAACTTTACCAGTTACGGAAAGAAAAAAAAATAGCAGATACTATTTCTTAAAGAGGAGAAATAGAAGCATAACAGAAATTTAGACATTGCTAGTTCTGAGTGTGAAGACCTCTTAATTTTCCCCTAAAAATCAGTAAATGACATCTTTACATTTGCTAAGCCCTGAAAACTATTATAAAGCTATCTTTCACTTATGTATACATACACATGTACATACATATATCCCAATGACTGAAGGACTGAAAATGAATCAATATATTCAGTATTAGAATAAAAGAAAGAAAGAAGTTGGAATTGGGATTCTGGATCCTACACCACAGTCTTTAATTTTTTTTATCTTCTTTAATCTTTCCAACTCATCCCCACATCCACTCAGGTTAAATCAGTGCATCTATTCTCTTCCATATAAGCCACAGAATTCCCAAAGTCAAGATGGCTGCCATTCTTAAGGTCTGGAATTCCTGTGCTGTTCTTCTCTTCCTCATCCTTTAACCCAGCTTGGGTCCACGAAGAAAGCCAGGCCAGGTGTTTTGAGGTTACTCACCACTCAGGGGACATCTAGGGCTCCA